AAACCTTCACCCGGCCCTCCACGCCTCACTCTGGGCAAGCAGCCAGAGGACAAGATGTGCTACACACAGCGCCACTTGCTTTGTTTAATCATCCGATCTAGGCTATCTGCCCAATTTTGCAACGGTTTTATCTCCTTCAGTTAGTCTCCCCCAGATAGTCCGACTACTAAGTACGGACACCCGCCATGTCACAGCTCTCACTCGAATGGCCTGCCCTGTCTCGTCACCATATTTCAACCTTCAGTCGCTATTTATGTGGCCCAATTTGTATATCTATATGTTAGTGATATTACCTCAGCCTCCACTGCGATCTTCAGCTCCATCCTCCTCTCCTCAATGTGCAACTCTTAGCCTCCCTGCACTCTTCTCTTCCAAGTACAGCATGACACCTTCAACATTGATATCACCTTCTTAACTAGAAACTACGATCACCATTGCGCGCAAGACGAAAGAAGATTACACCGACGTCCACCGAACGTAGACACAAGCTAGTGTGTTGCCGGCCGAACCAAGTTGCCGAAGGCCTGGCCCCTGAGGAGAAAAGGGCAGTGTGCATGGGTTTTGGAGGCAAGGAACATGTCAAACGACACCACGCCTTGCCTTGGGACAACCGAGACGCAGTCCGACGTGGCTCGGTTGTTGAGATTTAGTTTGTGATCTGCCTCAGTGCGTTGTCGTCTCGTCCGCTCGACCAACAACTCGGTCGTCGGATGGCGGGGGCCTTCTGATCACCAGCTGGGTTCGCAGAGTCTCATAAGGGTTCATTGGTGTACTATATGTTGAATGTGACCTTCCTCAGACTGTTGCGACTGTGCCTTGCGGTCGCGATGCCCAAATGAATGTCTTTGGGCGAAAAGGCGAAAGCATACCGTGGAGACTCGAGGCCATCAAATGACTACCCTTGGTATTCGCCGCCTCCTGTTTCACACCTTAAGATCGCTAAGCGGAATGAAGTTTAAAGAACAGTCGACACAGTTCCGCGAAGGGCGACGTGGAGAGGCTGACAATGGCAAGCAATGTGGTATACTCGATGTTCTTGGTCTTCCGTGGACAGAGAGAAGAGAGACGGCCAACTTCGACGTATGCCTCTTGATCGCTCGTCGCGTTCCCCGTCAATTTCATCTCTTTTTCTTTCTAATCGAGCGTTCGAGAAATCCCAGGTTCTGGTGGATGCCCGAGGTGGCTCACTGACTGGTCCCAGGAGGTGCTTAACCTCGCATGGGGAACAACAGCATTGAGGACCCCTTTTGCGAGGTAAGTTGATATTCTGGCAGACTTTATACTAGCTTATTTGATACCCTGATTCAATGAAGCGAGCGTCTTCACCTTCTGAGGTCTCGGTGCAGTAGGTGATGCATGTGATCGATAGTGGTGCTACACTTCGAATGAGATGCGTCGTTACCTTAGATTCATGCACTGGTCGGACAAGGTGCTGGTAGTCACGCGAAGGTAGAAGAGCGGAATTTGTCTCGATTAATTGTGAATGAAGCCCAGAGGAGGGATCTTGAGAATAGGATTTTGTCAGCTTCATCTTTCAACAATGTGCTGATTGTGACCCGTGGATGTTGGGGACAATCGAAAGCGACCGAATTATGGCTTTTCACGAACCTTGTAGGTCAAGATGCTTCAGACGCTCTGTAACCTGAGGAAATGTGAATCGTACTGTATATCTTACTCGACATTTGGACTCCGTCTGGTTCCGAGGGTGGCCAGACAATGACAAACTTGGTTGAACACTGCCTGTCGCTTTGACCACCATGACTCCAGCTTCTGCCTTTCTAGGATTCTGACGACAACAAGATTCATGCCTTCAAGTTCTGGTGCCACGCTGCGGCCGCCAATCCGATCTACGTCGGTAATGCAGACGTCAATGTGACGTTTGAGAAATTGTTGGACGGCGACGATTGGCCCTGCTGACTTCTTTCGGTTGGTTCATTAACGGTAAAAAGACATCGAACCTCGCTCCTTTGAATCCAACAACGTCTCGGTCACCACATCGTGGCGACTGGATTCTTGTTTTCGTCGTCCTAGTTGTCCTCTCGTCAAAAGGCCAATGGTTCTTGACGGTCAGTTCTCGCCCAAACACCGATACGGCCTGTGTACGGATCCCTCCGGGGGCTCCTGGCAGAGGGCCTTTCCTCGCTACGCTCGTATTAGCAATTGAACACGATCTTTCCTTTTCTGTGCGTTGAAGGTTCCCGCATGAGTGTGCCAATACTGTATCATCAGGGATGATCACAGGCAAGTCTTGTGCCCGTGTGTAGGTTGAGGTTCAGATGAGAGTGCTTCAGGCACCTCAGCCTGTCGTCCTATCTGAGTGCACCATTCTACAAGTATACATGACTTAAAAGACTTGAATCGTGCTGCCCCCTCTATCATTTACCGCCTGTCTTGCGGTTGTTGCGCCTCCCTTGTCGGAATTGAGGGTTGAGGAGCCCAAAGGCTAGTGCTGATCTTCGTGACGCCAAAAAAACGCGTGGAGCTGTGCTTGAAAGTCCATCAGAAGACCGCGGTACTGCATTTGCTGGGTGTGGTGACATTTAATTAAGTGTAATAAGTGTAGCTGTGCGAAATGGTAATCTCAACTCTCTCAGGTTATTCACAAGATGTCAATAGTATTTGAACGAAAATCAAATGACTGTCCTGGTCATTCAAATGTGTTTTGTCTTATATGCTTGGTTAGAGGTTATTTTGTATTTAAGCATTTTCAAGCCAGATTGTGAATATAAACGCAAATAATTAATAATATTTACATTAAAGTATTTATATAAGACCAGTAAGTCTATTAAAAGTATCTAAATAATAAATATTACTTTTATTTAGTAAAGAGATATCTTATTTTTAATAATATAATAAGAGGTATTAGTTTTTCTTACCCTATAACGTCCATGATAAGCGAGTGTTACAAACACGTGAGTGTTACAAAAATCCCTCAACCTACAACATGTCTACGTCGTCAACTGTTTCTTCACCACCCAATATGCCTGAATTCAATAGTGAAGCTAATGTTATTCTCGCACTTCGTGCCCTTAAAAATGACCGAAAATTAACTCTCCGACGCGCCGCAAAGATCTATGAGGTTGATCCAATGAGACTATGGCGCCGACAGCAG